AACCACTTGCTCAAACCAGATTCCTGACTCTCAAGGACAAGCTTGGAGTAAAGAACCAAACTCCAGCTTGAAGGGAGGTGTTAAAATGTTTATGCAATCATAATTCATCAAGGCTTATGCTGATGCTGATCATCTACTGATTTCACCAGATTCTTGGGACCACTATCCATCAGCTTCCGGGACCACATTGTTTTCTATTGTAACAGATTTTATTCTTTCAGTTTTCTCCTCCTCACGTGTTTAGTTATTGGCTTGTTCTCCAATCTAGTAGCTGTATATATATTGTACATCATTCATTGGAAATAAATTGAGTTTTCATCATTCTCTTTCACTTAGATTATACTTAATTTTATCTGGTGGCCTCTTCTTTGGCTATGACACATGTTCCTTTTCATCTCTCACACACACATCTATATATGTATGTACATATCACGACCGCACCTATGTTTTTCATAGCCAGTTCGAAGTCCGAGTAAAGAAAGAGAGTTGCAGTATACGTGTGCATATATCTCAACTGCCTATGTTCTTCATAACGGTTCCGGTTCTAAGTAAAAAAAAGAGGGTCGCAAGAGTTACTGTAGATCGATAAGTTGTCACCTACAAGTGACTCGCTAGATTTATTAATGAACTGAAATCGAGTGGCAAAAAGAATTAGCATGTAACGGACCCTAAATTACTGAAAATTAGACTTATTTTGTTGTGTGTATATAAACGATGCCGGAGTTATATGAGGTGCACTTTTGTATATAAGAGATGACTTCAAGTCTGTGGATAGGGAGACTGTTTTGTAGGTTAGTAGAACAAAAATTAATCAATATTATAAAGGAATTAATTATAATGTGCTTTGACGAAAATATCTTACTGATATTGGTAACTGTTATTGATAAGTGAGGGGCGCTGCTGGTATTCACCTCCTTTTCTGCTATAAATTACCAGCTTTATAATTATTTTGTCTGATAATTAGAGGTGCTAATAATTTACAGACATAGGAATTAAAGACAAATTCTGTTTATATGAATATTTAATTAGTATTGACTTTCTTAGTACAATCCCCAATAAACTTTCTTAGTTGTTCTCGTTCATGAGTATATGATACAGTGTGTTTAGTGATGCGTAAAATCAAGTCGAACTTATTTTTAAGTTACTTATTTTGTCAAATCTAATTTTCAAATGGGTTGTTCAAAGTCTTCAGTCAAATTTTGCACCATAATCCATATGCAACAATAATAATGTAAAGAGAAATGCTATTCATCCCCACTGGTGATGCATCCCCAGTTTATGTGGCGTTAAATGATAGGTGAAATTAAATAAGTCATTTAATTTCACCTATCATTTAACCAATCATTTACATCCACATAGACTTAGGATGCATCCCCACTGGGGATGAATAACATTTTTCTAATGTAAAATGTGGTTCTTGTTGCTTTATATCTCGTTAGGTGAATAAAGTAAACATAAAAGTTATTTAGCAGTATTGACTCCACTATACCAAACAAGCCATACAAGATAACAAGTATTACAGTTTAGTTAGATTTCTTTCTAGCCTTTTCAACTAGATTTTGCAATCTGGTGGAGTTCTCACAACCTTAAACATGTCAATGATTTATATAATATTCATTAATGAAGTAACTGAACGCCTTTTCTACTCACCTAAGCTTGAATGTTGAGCATGCTTCATATTCGTTCAATAGGAAAGCATTGTGAGCATGGCAGTTGCTGGAGCCATCATAGGGGCTGCCATTGGGGGATGGTTGAACGACAAATACGGAAGGCGAACCGCCATCCTCACTGCTGATTTTCTCTTTTTCATTTGGAGCGGTTCTTATGGCTTCAGTTCCTAGTCGGGAGGGTTTTCGTTGGTCTTGGGGTCGGGATGGCATCCATGACATCCCCATTGTACATCTCGGAAGCATCTTCTGCGAAGGTCAGAGGTGCCCTAGTCAGCACCAATGGATTCTTCATTACTGGAGGACAGTTTTTGTCCTACCTTATCAACTTAGCTTTTACTAAGGTAAAATATAACCTACTTTAATTCTCCAAAGTTGATATAATATATGCCATTGAACGCATTAATCAAGCTTTAAATGTGTTTACAAATTAGGTACCTGGGACATGGCGTTGGATGCTTGGAGTCGTCGGACTACCTGCTATCCTGCAGTTCGTGCTGATGCTGATGCTGCTCCTCCCTGAATCACCTCGTTGGCTTTACAGAAAGGTGAGTAGATGATGGCAACCTGGATTATCTTGCTTTCATTCCTTGTTGTTTGTTTGGTAAGATGGACTAGACAGTATTCGACTTGACTAGACATAACACCATCTCTCTTGAGTTCGAACATATACAATAATGTCTTATGTCAAATGCAGGGAAGAGAAGAGGAAGCAAATGCGATACTAAGAAAGATTTATCCATCCGAAGGTTGACATTGAGATATATGTTGGGAAAAATCGCCTCGAAC